CTCAAGGGAACGTCAAGGGAAAATCGTTAAATGCATATTTTACGGTAAGCGTCAAAGTTTTTCTCTTAAATTCCCATGTGGTATTATCGCTATGGTGAATGTTGATTTCTGCATTTTGTACTTCAAGAACCGCCCATAAGTCGATAGTGGCCTCGCTATCCTACCGACCTACCTGCTGAGGCGTGAGCGGCGCCTTGCCGCCGGCCTCCCCCGCCCCCGCCGTCGGAGCCGCCGCGGGGGCGGGGGCGGGGGCGGGGGCGGCCGCCGGCTGGTCCCAGCGCATTTTCTTCGCTGCGCCATTCTGGGGTGGGTCGGCAGCTGGGGCGGCGGGCCTCTTGGCGGCAGGAGTCGTCTCCGCGGCGGCTGAAGACCGCTTTGATGAGTACTGTGGCCCCAACCTCTTCTCTTCTAAGGTCTCATAGAGACGTGTTGTTAGTTTATTCGCCTTTGCTGGGTCAACCAAAGAAGAGAGCTTGCCTGGGAAAGAAGTCAGCATTGGTTGGTTAGAGAACATGGAAAATAGATGCATGATTCGATAAAAATGGAGCACATCACCTGGCAGCAAGCTATGACAGCTGGTGGCATCTCACCCAGGTAGCCAAAAAAACTAGCATTATAAAAGGAAGCTAGGTACCACCTTTAAAAATGGATGAACTTCTAAACCACCTGGAAGGCACAACTCCTCACAGAGCAAATTGCCAAATACCTTATGTTGTGCCAACAAAAAAAAAATATCTGTTTTACTTACTGATTGTTTTGTCCTTGGTATACCCAGCATTCACATAGGAAATTAATGTAGATACCACAGCTGACTCGCCAGAGCCAAGATATTTTCTGGCTGCTTTCTCTGCATAATATTCTACTCCTTTTTTGGAGGAACTAGATGACATTTCTTCAGAGGTGTAGAATCTTCTTTAATATGATCTGTAAAAGGGAAAACAACTTGATTATTTGACAGAATCATCCATGAAGCCTCATACATGTTGTGAATAAAATTGAAAAGCCAGCAATAGCTGCACTCCACACTAATCAATGGCTTTTAATTGCAGTCACATTGACATCACCAACCACATGCCTTCTAGTTCTCAATAATCTTTCATCTAAAATGCTTTAGGCACTCCTGGAAAATTTCATACCATGTGTCTAGAAAACAATAGCTAGGTAAGTACCTACCTATCTACCTATTTTGATTTATGGTTAAGTGCAAACCAGAAGCTTCTGTACTAGATGAACTCTTCTTTAAGATTTGTATAAGATAAAGCAACAGGAGAAAAACCTGACAAAATTGTATTGGTATTCATGAAAGGATGAACTTAGTAGTTAATGCAGATTTAAGCTCAATTTTGGAACATAAATATAAATGTCTATCTACATCTGTTCCACACAGCTTACAGCTATACCTGCCTTTTGAACCCTTTAAAAACTGGAGAAATTCACAAAATAGAAACATCTTAGGAAAAATGCATCCTCCTTAGATTGAAATTGACAGAACACAAGTCTGTCCAATATCAAGCATTTTCATTGACTGCCTGTCAGCTTAGACAAGTGCCTAAGCCAGCCATTGATCTAAGATGTCTGAAAATTATGCATTTATTTACAAACCCTGTTTTTAATTTGCTTTTGATACACTTTTACCGGCTCAAGAGTTTATCATATCAGGAGCTGGGCCGGGCTTTCTATTCACAATGAATGCCAGAATACACGACTATATTATAACATGCCGAGATGAAGAAGTGATCGTCCAATGTCATTCAAGACCTGCTGCCTCTGTCCAACCAAATTCCAAATCAGACAATAGACATTGGACAAAATCGGAATTCTCTGTCCCAACGTTCAAGTTCCAATTGGCACCACTAATTTAGGTATTTCTGCACAAATGACAAAGTGTGCCTGTTAAGTTTAGGAAATAAGAGCAAATGATTGTATGAGCAATTTTCTGGGTTATATGGTCTGTGACGATAGGCATGATTTTTGTTTAGTTTTAAGTCCACGGTGCAAAATGTGATTTTCACAGTCTATGCAGTTCAAGTTGATTGATGGGCAGGCACCACAATCAACACGCGTTGAGGCAGCAATTGGCGCACATGAGACAGTTTTAAACGAAACGTTTTGTGACACACACAAAGCAAAATATTTGACGTCAGTGATTTATTATGCCATTTGAGAAGTTTTTATTTGAGGAAAGGATAAAAGGATGAGTCTCCAGTGAAGAACAATGAAATGTTAAATGAAGTTTAATTAAAAATTTTCTTGGACCTTTCGTGGATCTCATAAAAACAAAAACTTATGCACCACTTACACTGTAAATTTGCAACTTTTCCGCTACGTCATAGGCCTGAATATTTATTAGAAAGACCTAAATTTTGTGTGTTCCTAATAAATCATTATTTTGTGAGAGCTGCTAGCGCTTCAATATTTCCCATGAAACGGGGGCTTTTTTTTTTTTTTTTTTTTTAGTGGCCCTAACTTACGTTACCGGCCTCGCGAGGAGGGCGGCGACCTAACTACGCCGCGCAAAACAAACCGGCCGTCCTAACTAAGACCGGTGGCCACTTTTACAGCAAGACAACATGGGAAAACCCATATCCATGTACTATGCCATGAATATGGGAAAAAACCCATGAATTTACGTTAAGACACATAAATGACAGTGAAACTTACCGGTAAATTGATGTTTGTGAAGGGAGGGAAGGAGGAAGTTTGTGAATGGTAAGGTTACGAGAGTTTGATGACAGGAATGGTTTGAAGAGTGGGGGATATGTCGCTGGGAGGGATGGGGTTTGTGAATGTTTAAGCGTCACGATGAAAGGAATGGTTTGGAGGATGGGGAATCTGTCGCTGCTGCAGTTGGCGGCCGACGGTTGTCTGTGGTCGTTCAACCCGGCCGCCGCCGCTGTTCAGCGGCCGGGGTCCGCTGGTGTAGCTCGCTGGGCCGCTGAGCCTCTAAGCCTGCTCCAGCGGCAGGAGAAAACCCGTCTGCCACCGAAGCTCTGTGTTTCGGCACCAGCGAAAAACCCGACCCATCCCGTATCACAAGTCAGCCTGGTGGTAGCGAAACGGGCGCCTGCTAACAGTCAAGGCCGTTAAAGTAGCTCTGAGTAGGGTGATGTTAGGACGAAATCAAGTACCAGGTTTGTCAATGTTGTGTCGTCCCCGAGAAGCGTCGGGAGGTCGTTTTTAAGGTGTTGTACCGCAAGATAGTTAGTGATGTGTCTTCGTTCGTGATGCAATGCCGTGCATGCGATCAAAATGTGCTCTACGGAGATGCGTGTGTCGCAGGTGTGGCAAATCGGAGGGCCCGTCCTATCAAAAAGGTGGCCATGGGTGAGGCGAGTATGACCACACCTCAATCTGGCCAGGGTCACCTCGCGTATCCTGTCTGGTTGGTTACATGTGACCCATGTTCTAAGTTCTCGTTTGATCGCATACATATGTGCAGCATGATGTTGGTCCCATTTGCGTTGAAGGTACTCGGCGAATTTGATTTTTATCATATGAATAGCGTCCCCTTGGGCCATAGGTTCCACAACTGGATCAGGTCGCATTGCAGCCTCCTTTGCGAGGACATCCGCACGTTCATTTCCTGCAATACCGTAATGACCTGGAACCCAAAGAAGGGTCACATGCTGGCCCTCATTGAGATCTGATGTGATCCTGAGAATATTGTAGATACCGTGGTGGGTAACATTATCGGTCCTTTCCAGTGCTTGAAGAGCGGATTTCGAATCAGTACAGATGGTTGCCCGATCAATCTTTTCTGCCTTGATGTGCTCCATAACTTTTTCGATTGCGTGAACTTCGGCACTAAAGACTGTCGTAAATTCTTGAAGCCGGGTCCCAAACCTAAGCCCAGGGCCGACGGCTGCTGAACCTATCTGATTTTCGTGACATGAGCCATCTGTGAAGAAAAAAGCAGAGTCGCAGTTGAGCTCTACATACTCCTGGAAGAGCATTTGAGCTTCCACCGGAGGTATACTGGTCTTCTTATAATCAAAAAGAAATTCAATGGATAGGTCTTTGAGGAGCCAAAATGGAATCATAGGAGGATTTAGAGTAACTTCAGTGCGCCTAATGTTTAGCAGTTGATGAGCTTGCTCAAGGCACCCGGGTAGAAAGCACGATCTACGCAGTGGGCGTCGGGTTCTTGGTTTCCTCGCCTCCATTGCTGGTACCGCAATGTGATTTCGAACACTTTTTGCTCTGTAGTAATAGCGGAGGAAAAGAAAGACGCGTCGGTCATCAAGTGCTGGAATGCCGGTATCTGCACGAAGCGCAAGAACTGGCGATGTGCGAAAAGCCCCAGTTAGAAGTCTCAAGCACGTTGATTGAACGGCTTCTAGACGTTTGCATAAACTGGGCGACAGTGTGCTAAACAGATAACAATTGTACTCAATCGTAGATCTGATTAGCCCAATATACAACATTTGCAATGTTTTCCTGTCCGCACCCCAAGAAAACCCACATATGCATCTTAGGACATTGATTCGTTTAATACAACGTGCTCTTAGGTGCTCAACGTGTTGACGGAAGGTTAGATTAGTATCCAAAATGATCCCTAGAAATTTGTGTGACGTGGAAAAAGGTATTTTAATCCCATCGATGTGTGGGGATCTTTCAAGCGATGGACGGGGTCCACGTTTGAAGACCATCATGACTGATTTTGGTGCTGACAAAAAGAATCCCCATTTTGTGCACCATTTAACGCAGTGATCAACCACTGTTTGCAATATAGAATAAGCCTGTTTGTAGTTTTTGTGGGATACCCATATTGCTATATCATCAGCAAAAAGCCATTTCTCTATCTGTAAGCGTTCAAAGACTCTGACCATAGAACACGTTTTGCCGGCTTTTGCGATTCCCTTATATGTTTGGGTGCAGGGAGTGCGCGCGAAGAGCCTTGTGTGAGAGCAAGGCGTGAGAGTCGAAGAGGTAGTCGGTAGCAGGGGAGTTTGGTAGGTAGGTGTTGTAAGTGATGGATTTACTTTTTACACGCTGTGAGATTGGAAATATGCAGCTGTTGCATCAACAACACGTAGGTGTAATAGGTACTGGTAGGTAGGTACCAGGGCCCTGTTTCACCGGTGATAGCAGCACGCCGATTTTACGACTTGTCAAATTGGGTTTCCATGGAGACATCAACAGGCCCATTGCTCCAACACTACCACAAGTGTGACGTCAGCTCGCGCAATTTGATAGCAGCGTGGTAGCAGCAGCCCGTGAAACACCGCCCTGGGTATCGGTAACCCGGGGCCCTGTTTCACCGGTGATAGCAGCAAGCTGCTATCACGTTTCGCGAGCTGACGTCATGTCGTGACGCCATACTGTTGTCGTAATGGGTAGTTCCGGCGCACGGTTGCCGCGACCTTGGCGGCGGCATTAAGTGACGTATGAGCCTAAAAGTAAGAGTTTACGCAGTCATGATAGTATATATATTTTTGGTATATATTTTTTCAATATGATGTATTTAAAAGAAGTTGGGTTTAGGAAAAATTTGGACATTAACTTCGAACATTTAGCTGATGACGTAAAACAATATTGCGGTAATCATGCGCCAGAATTGCCCCTTACGTCAGCAGTATGACGTCATCACATTACGTCAGCTCGCGCAATTTGATAGTGGCGTGCTGCTATCACCGGTGAAACAGGGCCCTGGCGTCACCGGGGCCCTGTTTCACCGGTGATAGCAGCACGCCGATTTTACGACTTGTCAAATTGGGTTTCCATGGAGACATCAACAGGCCCATTGCTCCAACACTACCACAAGTGTGACGTCAGCTCGCGCAATTTGATAGCAGCGTGGTAGCAGCAGCCTGTGAAACACCGCCCGGTAATGTTTTCGTTCAAGGTAAGGATTTCCTGTATTAGGCCGCCGTGCCAGGCCGAAGCATGCTGTGACGTCACTGGAAGAGAAGATAACTTGGTACCATGCTTTCAGATTCAGGTCGACTCAGACCGTCTCAAACTAACTCAGACCGACTCAACCGACTTAAATTGATTCCGATCGACTCAAATTGATTCCGATCGACTCAGACAGACTCGGAATGACTCAGAGAGACTCAGGCAGACTCAAACCGACTCAGGCAGACTCAGACCGATTCAGATTGACTCAGACTGACTCAGACCGACTCAACCGACTCAAATTGATTCTGATCGACTTAGACAGACTCAGAACGACTCAAACCGACTCAGGCAGACTCAAACTGACTCGGCCGACTCAAACCGATTCAGATCGACTCAGACCGACTCAGATAGACTCAGAACGACTCAGACTGACTCGGATCGACTCAACCGACTCAAATCGATTCCGATCGACTCAGACAGACTCAGAACGACTCAAACCGACTCAGGCAGACTCAAACTGACTCGACCGACTCAAACCGATTCAGATCGACACAGACCGACTCAGATAGACTCAGAACGACTCAGACTGACTCAGACCGACTCAAATTGATTCTGATCGACTCAGACAGACTCAGAACGACTCAAACCGACTCAGGCAGACTCAAACTGACTCGACCGACTCAAACCGATTCAGATCGACTCAGACCGACTCAGATAGACTCAGAACTACTCAGAGTCTGAGTCTGCCTAAATCTGTCTGAGTCGTTCTGAGTCGATCTGAATCGGTCTGAGTCTGCCTGAGTCTGTCTGAGTCGATTGGGATCGATTTGAGTCGATTGAGTCGGTCTGAGTTAGTTTGAGTCAGTCTGAGTAGATCTGAATCGGTTTGAGTCGGTCGAGTCATTTTGAGTCTGCCTGAGTCGATTTGAGTCTGCCTGAGTCCTTTACGTTATCTTCTCTTACCCAGTGACGTCACAGCATGCTTCGGCCTGGCATGGCGGCCTGATACAGGAAACCTTAGCCTTGAACGAAAAAGCTACCGGTGACGCCAGGGTTACCGATACCCAGGCCCATGTCACTCCACTTTTGATGACATCACAAGGGGGCCACAGGACAATTAATGGCGCGGAGCGCCACAATCGCTCCCAAGCTACTGGCCAACAGCTGCCATTTTTGAAAATAATATTTTGAAATAAAGTTTCAAGTAATGAAAATATTGTAATAAAGTTGTAACTTAAATCTATACCATATCTAAAAACTTACTGAAAAATGATTTATCCATAGTAAAAATATAAGCTCGATGCGTTTTTACGTTGCTTTCATGCTGTTGCAGAGGGTTTTTAAATCGTCTATATCTTCAAAACCGAGCATTTCTTAGCATATTGCTGCTCTTTTTTGTCGCTGGAAAATTAGTTGGGCTTTCCATTGACATCAACGGCTGAGCGGTATGTGCAGAGTGCCATCAATAATCTTCAAATGAAGTTAGTCATTTTTACGTTGCAAAGGAATGGAGTACCCCTTGCGAGCATCAGGGATGACGTCACTCAGGATCTGTCTCTGATTGGTCGGCGGGGGAGTGACTGTACCTTCTATAGATGGCCTTGCCGATACCTCTCAATGTTGTGAGTGCTCAAACCAGTAAATGCAAGCCAGGGACCCCATTTTGGCTAGCTCAACTCAAAACTAATATTAAGGTGGGCCGTCTGAAATTTCCATGGCTCCGCATCCCTGCTATAAACCTACAACCTGCCAATGTGCAACCCAAAGCAAAAAATCTGTGTTAATATCTCAAGAACTGGAGAGTAGCTACTTTTCACAAATGGGTGGTAGCATGTGAGACACCTGCTATATGATTGCTGCCTGTAGCCTGTAGGTCAGTCTGAAAAGCTTGGCAGGCAGATCAGCAAGGTGTACCTATTGGGCAGCAAGAATACAGTCCCACTCCCAAATGGGAGAGCTGACTTCCAGGTAGCTCAGTTTTTGCCCTAAATGGGCCAAGCCAAACTGGCTAAGAGTACTTACTTAAGTTAGTACCTACTATACTTATTAAGTTAGTACTAAGTAAATACTTAAGTTGGCTGCAAAATTTCCATGAAATAAGGCTTGTTTTCAAAAGGAAAAAAATCTAACAAATGTCGTTTTTGATAAGGTATTGGACATAAACCTTTGGTTACAATAGGACATCTGCCTTGTAACCTTATCGTGAAGGTAATTGGCATTTGTATGTTAATGGTTTGACAGCCTGTTTTTCCTTTCAGATATTTTTGCAAGTCTATCATGTTTAGCTTCAATGATACATTCACAGACTTTTTGGTAAGTACTGAACTTTGGAGTTATGAACGTGCCAACATTTTGCTTTTCTCATGTGAAAAGATGCATGGTCCTTGTGGAACCTGTTCAACTGCCACAGGAAGTTATCAACATTGTTTCAGTAGTGTGTTGACTACTGATTATATTTTTTTCCAAAAACAGAGTATCCTACCCACTAACTATGTATCTACCTGTAATAACCAGCCCTCATAGTTGAAACTTGTTGGATACTATACCACTGTCCTTTGAATATGCTTCATCTTTTGTTTGTCCATCCTCTCTGACTGCCACCATTGCAAAGTCAAACAGTTACTGAATGTCCTTACAGTGGCCACTGGCCACTCAGTCTGCCACCAACTGTTCCTCCCAACAGACCAGGAGATGAAGAAATGGCTCAACACTGACAGAGACACTGCTGTATGATGTTGGGAAACAGCAGAAGGGCTCAAACAGCTATCTGGCAGTCATGCAGGACACCAAAGTAGGCTTTGTTGATTGCACACAGTGCACCAGCTGCATTGCATTTAGTGTCAGCTCACTGGCAGCTGTTCACGGAGGGCTTGTGCAAGGCAGAACTACCTTCTTATCCAGTGGAATTATTTTGCAAGAGCCCGGCCAGTGACCAACGCGGAGTCGGAGTCGGTATATGTCAGTGACTGTGGACCCCCCCCCCCCCTGCTTGCGGTGGCGGCAGCTGGTTTCCCAGCTGTAGCACGGAGTTCAGACCTGTACCAGCTGTCTGATCTAGCAGCTGACACCGGTATCGCAGACTGTTGTGGCACACGGCAGTCACGCGGTGGACGATACCTACGTCTACCGGGATTCACGCCAGAGGGAGCGCTGCCGTCCTTATGTATGGTCGGGAGTCTGCGGAGACCGTTAGAGAAGTTCTTTTGCGGTGGTCTCATATGTCGGCCAGTGCCGACCACAGTATAGCTTTTTCAGGCTCAAAACTAAATCGGACTTAGTCTCGTCTGATTTCCAACTTCCACTGCCTGCTGTGTATTTTTATTGTTTCTCTGCTAATGAGTTGTACTCTTGTTTTCGCAGTCCGACCTGTCCGGTTGTGAAAAGGATGGAGACATTGAGGAGACGATCTTTCGGCTTGAAGCTGACTTCTCAGGAAAAGAAGGAGGGTGAGTTTTTCTTCTTTCGTTAGTTTGCCATTCTTTTTTGTTTTATTTTTAGCTACTCTTCATTGGCCAGTGATTTGTCGCTAAGTCGTAAACCTTTTTTGTGGGCCACCATTCACACCCTCTCTGTTCCGCAGAGAGAGTGACAAGCGCGCCTGTCTGGACCACGCGCTGCGACTGACCCCGCCTCCCTCCACCCCTCACACCCTCTCTGTCCCGCAGGGAGAGCGACAAGCGCGCCTGTCTGGACCACGCGCTGCGGCGGCGCGTGGCCTCCGTGGCCGAGGAGGCGCCGACCGGTCAGGCCGAGCGGCAGCTGCGCGCCGTGCTGCAGCTGTCGGTGAGGCTGGCCCGCTCCGACCGCTGCTCCCCCACCACCCCGATCGTGCTGCTCTCGGACAGCTTCGACGCGCTGCCGCTGGACGGCGCCCAGGCGCTGTTCGCCTTCGTGGAGGATAATGTGGCCACTTGGAAGGAGGAGATGTTCTTCAACGCCTGCAAGAATAACCTGCTGCGGATGTGCAATGGTGAGTGGATTTCACGTACTTGCTGTGACTGGTTGTTCTCTGTCTGACTTCAAGTCATTATATTCGTAGCCATACTGGGTCCACTGCTGTCATGAATGTATTAGCTGCGATCTCCAGGAACCGTTGGCGACTCCTCACGGTGTGTCTCTGCCGCCTGCCTTCAGATCTGTTGCGGCGCCTGTCGCGCTCACAGAACACTGTCTTCTGTGGCCGCATCCTGCTCTTCCTGGCCAAGTTCTTCCCGCTCTCGGAGCGCAGTGGCCTGAACGTCATCAGTGAGTTCAACCTGGACAACCTGACGGCGTTCGGTGACGGAGACGGCGGAGAGGATGTGGTCGAGATGACCGAGGACGGCGAGGAACCCTCGGCGCCCGCGCCGACGGCCGACGCGCCAGATGTGCCCGGGTGAGAGAGGGGGAGTAGGTGGGAGGGTGTTGGTGAAGGGCTGATCTATTTTAGAGGGAGTTGGAGAAACCGTGGTGGGATGGCCGGGTAAGGGTTATTTTTGCTTATTTGTTCAAACATTTTCTCCTCGGTCTGTGCAGTTTTCTGTTCGTGTTCTCAATTTAACCGTTCAGCTCCACGTGTGTTTTGCAGCCCGCCGCTGGACTACAACCTCTACCGCAAGTTCTGGGCGCTGCAGGACTTCTTCAGAAACCCCAACCAGTGCTACTCCAAGGTCCCCTGGAAGGCATTCAACTCGGTACGGTGCCTCCCTTAGTTTCATTAGTATTATTGTTGCCGGTTCGTACTGGTCATACGCAACACCACCATCTATAGCATGCAGGGTTCTTTCAAAATATTGTATATCGTTTTTCACTCAAACGGAAGAGTTGTGCGGTTGTCGTGAAAGCGCGAAACGGTTATGATCGAGTAGTGATTCTGAATGCTGGTTCAGTGTAAGCTTATATCATTGCATGTCTGATGCCAAATATGTGTTTGTGCATTTGCAGTACACTACAGACGTGCTGGCGGCATTCACGGGGTTCAAGCTGGATGAATCTTCTAGCTCACATCTGAGTAAGGTACGTGTAATTCTATCTAAGCACCTTCCCTGGGAATGGGGCGTTCGATTGCCGAATCAGTTATATACGGAGAGCCACGTGAAGACCTTATCGAATTCTGTTTAGTACCTATAAAATGTTCATGCTAGCTCTGCCGTCCAAAGCCAAAACACCGTATGGGCCATTTTTTCCGAAATATGTTTTTTGATACCAGGACAATCCATTTTTGACGCTGCGTTTAGCTGTACCATTTATAGTTTTATATAGATAATTTTTATTATATCCGATAAGGTATTATGGCTTTTGTGTATAAACCACGATTTAGCTACTTGGTTCCACCAAAATGCCGGTGTGGAGTGCGATTGTGAAATTACCCAGTTGTTTCAAGTCGTCAACTCATGCCAAAACACCGTATCACAGCGATGTGGTCTTTTGCCTTGGCGGACGCTGAACCTATGCCACTCTCATGCCACTGTTTCACGTGCGATGCGGTCTTCTGGCTTTGATTTCGAACGAAGTTTCCGACAAAACCAGTGACAAAAACACCGTATTGACTGATATGCGGTATTTTGGCATCGGTTGGTGTCGGTAACTCTCGATCACCTTGAAATGCCCTCTTTTGGCACGAATGATTCAACGTGTTTAGGAAATAAGCTACCCAATATGGAATTCATGACAAAATTGACGGCTAATAATGATAACAACATAATTTTTAGAGGAATAATATTTAAAGATGTAAGCTGTTAGAGCAATACCTGCCAGACTGTCGTGGGGCGAAGTGGCTCAGATGGAGGCTGCTTTGAGTGCAGCCACCTCACTTCAGGCGGGCGGTCCACCTCACTTCAGGCAAGGAAGCCAGTGGCGAATATCGAGAGAGGCCGATAGTGAGTGGCTTGACGACGGGGTGACGGTGTCAGTATGATGAAAGAGGTGATGATACATACGATTAGGTCTAGCCATGCTTCGTCCCTGGGTTACGGGTCTTACTATTCAACTGAACAGTGTGGCAATGCCTGAGAACACCGGCAGCGTCAGAAAGGACTGTTATCATGTGGTGTCCGTTTGCATCGTCTGGGACGATGGATGTAGCCGGACGTTGAACTGGTGGAGGTATCTGGTATTTACTTTTTGCTTGCAACTTGGGTCTTTCACACAGTCCAAAAGTGGACGCTGATGAATGCTGTTCAGTGTTCAGTGTGCAATCGAACCACCTCACAATCCAGACTGACGCTAAAGTCGATCTAACCTGAAAACACCGGCATGGACGCCGATGTCGTAGCCGTGCCAGGTAAGTTAACCCAAAACTGAATCAGAAATCAGTTGTTTTCGGAGCATGTGAAGGCGGCCGGTGAACGCTTGAATATGCGTGGAACTCAGACTTTCATATAACTAGAAGATGGCAAAACCTGCGTTGCTTCATTTAATTATTTCTAGCGCCTCTTTTTCTTGTAGCAAATTTGTAGAAAAACCCGATGTATGCAACAAACATTCGCCCCCTCGCCTGCCTTCAGTCTCCGACTCTCCGGCATCACACATTCTGCTCTCCCTTTGTAGACTGTGTGAAAGTCCTAAGTTTCAAGCAAAAAAAGTGATACAGCCACGTCCAGATACCTCCACCAGTTCAACGTCCGGCTACACCCATCGTCCCAGACGATGCAAACGGACACCACATGATAACAGTCCTTTCTGACGCTGCCGGTGTTCTCAGGTATTGCCACACTGTTCAGTTGAGAAGTAAGACCCGTAACCCAGGGACGAAGGAGCATGGCTAGACCTAATCGTATGTATCATCACCTCTTTCATCATACTGACACCGTCACCCCGTCGTCAAGCCACTCACGATCGGCCTCTCTTCGATATTCGCCACTGGCTTCCTTGCCTGAAGTGAGGTGGACCGCCTGTTTGCTGCACTCACAGCAGCCTCCATCTGAGCCACTTCCCACACGACAGTCTGGCAGGTATTGCTGAAATGCCTTAGACCCTAAAACATTCCCCTAATAATTCGTGAGTTTTGTCGTGAACTCCATATAGACCCGCCTATTTCTATACATGATGCAGCATCGATGATTCTGAATGCTGGCAATTGTCGATGGATCATTTCATCATGTAAACTGCATGCTTCAGCTTAACCGTAACTTGGAGGTCATCCAAGCCAAAACACCGTATTGGGGCATAAAACGCGATACGGTGTTTTTGCTTCGCGAAAAGGCACAAAATTTACATACAAACCAGGCCAAAACACCATATCGAATGCTAAGTAAAATGATAATGATTATTATGAAATTTGAATAAATGTATCAATTCTGCAAGATCAGACAATTCTAATGGTATTTTTCCTATCACGGAATGTTGATTCCTTCACATAGAAATCACACCTCAAAGTAACAAAGTTTAAAATCGTTCTCCTGTAAAATTTGAAAAACCTTGGATACTGTGTTTTGGCTTTGGACGGCAGAGCTAGTAAAATCATCTTTCAGTTTCTGTTATGTAACGATGAAATATGAGCAATAATTAACCTCTAGCGTATATTAGCGGCAGATTGCTATCGATGTAGCCATCTCGCTGACCCTGCTCCGTTCTCCCTCGGCAGCTGGAGTCGGACACCCAGGAGTACTTTGCCAAGTACCTGACGTCCCAGAAGCTGCTGCAGCTGCAGCTCAGCGACTCCATGTTCCGCCGCTTCGTGCTGGTCCAGTTCCTCATCCTGTTCCAGTACCTCGCGTCGCCGGTCAAGTTCAAAAGGTGAGACGAGGAGTGGTGGGGGACGGTGCTTGGGGCACTACGGGGTTGTAGGCTTCGGGAAACGATCGGCTCGTAATACTTATCAGCGTTACGGTGGAAGACGAAAAGATCGGAGTACGTTGCAACTTGCAATGCTATATTTAATTACACTCATAGTCCTTGTTTCTATTGTTCTGCTTTCCATCACCAGACTCTGCCAGCCAACACACGGCACATTCAATCATGTGTTTTTCCAAAGCTCAGCAGTCCGTTGTCTCTCAACTGACCCAGTCTGTCGGCTGGCTGTGTTTCAGCGAGGGTCAGGTGCTGACGGAGGCTCAGCAGACCTGGCTGCAGGAGACTCAACAGACTGTCTACAGCCTGATCGCGGAAACGCCGCCACACGGCAAACAGTTTGCTGAAACGATCCGCACCATTCTCAAGGCATGTATGCGCTTCATTTTACCACTGGCTCTAGTGATAAACGGTTTTTTGCCTTAGCGTTAATTGACCTTGAAGATGTACTATGTTTCCCAGTTTGAATGATAATGTTCATACTTCATACTACGTTAGTGACAGCCGTAACATTGCTGTTGCCTTTTGAGTGGCTATTGTCAGTCTTAAATGCCCTGGGATATTCATTCTGCGTGAATTAGGTATTGCGGGAATTCGGGCATGATTATCGAGTGTCATGTCCTTACCCCTCCTCTGCCCCCTCTCGCCTTCAGCGTGAGGAGAGCTGGAACACGTGGAAGAACGACGGCTGTCCGGCGTTCAAACCTCCCGTGGCGCCGGAGGAGAAGGCGGAACCGGCGGCGGACCGGGCTGCCGGCCGGCCCGCGCCCCGCCGCAGACAGAAACGGAAAGTCGGCGACGTGCTGAGGACCGCAGAGGCCAAGAAGAAATTCCTGATGGGACAGTGAGTGCGGGAGAATGGGGAGGGAGAGGCACTTGGTTGGGATTGGCGTGGTGCTGGTGGACTAAGAGTCTAAGAAGCTTTGAAGATTGTCTTGTTGGTTGTCTGTATACTTCAGGAAAAGCATTAAAGGTGGCGGGCATTCCGTAAGCTTGCATTTCTTTACTTATTCAAAAAAGTTGTTTTTAGTTGATGTCTGTTGTTTGGCGTACGCCCTCGGTAAATGTCATACTGGTACCATTCTGACGGGTTTCCGTCTCCATCGCCTGACAGCCCGGAGCTAACCCGTCTCTGGAACGTCTGCCCTGACAACATGGAGGCGTGCAAGTCGACCAAGCGCGACTTCCTGCCGGCGCTGGACACGTTCTTTGACGAGGCCATCACCCAGATGGACCCGGCCAGCTGCGTGGAGGAACAGTACAAGTGAATGAGGGAGAGAAATATAAGGCGCAGCGGTTATGACAATAATACAGGAGGGAGGGCTCAGAAGCCAGTGAGAATAGCGTGGAAACGTCACGATGGTATATTTATGTTTGGAAATTGAGATAATGCATTGTTACCATAAGACAGAGTAGTACAAAATACCCTACTCGTTGCCATTCATACAAAATGCACCGGGCGAAAATATACAAAAGCGCGCATACTTGGAACACACATGCTTGTTTTCATCGTTGGCTATGTCGTCTCACAGCTTGGCTTCCGACATCCCTCCTGACATCCCACTTCGTTATCTGCAGGGTGATCAACAACGGCGACTACGGGTGGCGCGCGCTGCGTCTGCTGGCGCGCCGCTCGCCGCACTTTTTTGCGGCGGCCCAGAAGATCCCCAACTCGCTGCCCGACTACTTGGACACAATCCTGAAGAAGGTGGCCAGCGACATACCGTGGGTGCTCGGGGATGGGACAGAGTTGTATCTGGTATCGGGAGCTGTTAGGGACAGGGCCGACTGGTATCAGGTCTAGGGAAGCTGCTTCATGAACAACATAGAGCTCTAACTTAGAGGCCCGCTGCTAAAAATAGACTAACCTGAGATAGAAAGTAAAGTCCTGGCGGCTAGAATAGTGAGTGTAGCGAGGAACTCGCCACAAACCCCTGCCTTGCCCTAGAGGAGCCCGTCTTCCCTGACCCTCCGAGTCTCCTTCGTTTTTAATCCGCTGACTCTCCCCTCTCCCCGTGTGCAGAAGTTCAGCGGCAGTGCCGGCGGCCCGGGCGGTGAGCCGGCCGCTGCTGCGGCCGAGGAGGCCGTAGCGGAGGGCGGAGCGGAGGCCGAGGAGCTCCGCGCCGCAGAGGAGGCCTCTGAGGAGGCGCCGGCCGCACGCCGCGTGCACCCCGTCACCGAGGCGCTCACTCAGAAGATCGCCGCCGGTCTGGGTGCGGAGTGGGAGCGGCTGGCCTCCAAACTGGGCTTCCAGTCCGATGAGGTAAGTATCGTCCGTGGGCGGGGGAGGTGGAGAGATGGGTGGGAAGTGGAGGACGGAGAGTGGAGATGGATGGATAAATAGTGTGAAGAATTGGTGAGTCGAGGATACGGAAAGAACGAAAATATCGTTGATTTTCTTGGTTCGTGGAACTGGAGGCCATGGTGAGATATGAGGGGTAACCGATCAATTTAAGACACCCGAAAGGGCTTGCCCGTGATTTTGTACCGTGCCGAACCCCATCAGGTTGACCAGTACCACGTCTTTCTTCCCCAGGTGGACTACTTTATCAGCGAGCAGAGCACGCCGGAGGCGCGAGCAGCGATGATGTTCCGCCAGTGGCTGGACAACGAGCGTGAGGAGGCCACGCAGGAAGAGCTGCTGTACGCCCTGGAGGCCGTCAAGCTGGACACCCGGGTGCGTCACCTGTTCGACCCGGAGGTGCGCGGAGACGAGGAGCCACCGCCGGCCGAGAGCTAGCCGAGGAACTCACCCGAGGATGACACACATTAGTGGTGGGGAGGGAAATATCCACTCAGCTAGAGGTGGTGAAATTCACCAGCTGCTGTCGGCTGTATGTTGGGTAGCCGCCAGGCAGACGCCGATGCCCACTAGCTATCGCCGTCGCCTACTAGCTAACGCCGGTAGCTGCTAGCCTATGGAGCGATACGGTACGTCATGCGATGGCTAACCATCAATAAACTGAGTTGTGCCACACGGACCATGATCCGGCCTGGCACCGGTCGAGCACGGTCAGCATGAGCCTTGAATGTGAGATACGCACCTCGTTCTGTCATGGGACTGAGGGTTTGGACTCTGGACGGCTGGGCGGCATTGGACTGAATGGACGGCTGAAAGGAGAATGCGATGCAGACCTAATGGGAGTTGACTGAACTACCGATGTTATCATAAATTGCGCTCAGTGGACTGATTCGAGAGGTGGCCTGGCCACGCTGACTGGCCAACCTGTTTGTTCATCGTAGTTTTGACATTGACTCTCACATCACTTCTCACTGTCACTATCTCACTGTCACTCTCCACGCTAGGAGCCGACTGAAATCGTCGGCTTCGAAACGCCTCACGAATTTTGTGGCACGTTTAGGTGCCGGCCTGTGCTGTGCCCCGATGTTTGCTGGATCTCGCTACAATCATCGAGCTATGAACAGGGAGTCGTTTTAAGGTTCTGTCAAGCCGTGCGTCACAATGTACAAAAATACATTTGTTGGCCTGTCTGTGATCGAAAAGTTTGGGAGTGGTATTTGTGCGTTATGGATGTGAAAATGGTTTGCTGTATCGTATTGACTGACAAGGACCATATGACACGACAATGAACTTGGTACAGCTTTAAAACGATGGTGCTACGCTACGTTCAGAAACGGGGTAGAGCGACGCTCACACCGTTTGAACTTGGTTTAGACATGGTAGACCTTGAAAATGGATGGCGTAAGCGTGGTCCTCCGTTCCGTCGTTTCCATCCTCAGGATAGTCAAATCCTTCTCTTCATCCACGCTTTGAATGGACGGGCAACTTTGTTACATCTGGGTAGCCCCACCTCAGGGGCGGGCCCGTAGCCGGGAGCGGTGATCGTCAAGACTTGGTTACTTGTCCTTGAGATTGGCTCAGCCCCGTCGGGTCACCAGGGTGCCCACCAAAACCAATATCTCCTAATTCCTGGCGCCCTTCCTGCTTTATCTCTGAAATGGTCTAATTAGACCCAACGAGCGTAACCCAACAGCAGGAAAGCTTTATTCTGGATTCCGGTACTTTTTCTCGCGAACGTATAAAGAAAACACTTCATATGGTAGCGAACTGAACTTCCGCTTCCAAATCATTTCGTGAGCAGAAGAGGCGCAGTTGATACGTTTGTGGCATACACAGAAAATCTGCTGGACGCGGTGTTCGAGGTGCGTATATTTTTTTATTTATTTGTTTTTTTCTCACTATTTTGAATTTTTACAATCATATGCACCTTCCTAATTGACCAGAGAAGATATTGATGCGCTTTTGTGTTGCTTTGGCTTGTCAAAAAGTGTTTGGAAAGGTATGCAATGTCAGTTTTAAACTCAAACTGAAGTCCGGTGTAATGCTTATGTTGTAAATTTTGTGCATATTTTCACATTAAATCAATATTTCCATTATTTATTGATGAATTTGATCACTGATGTTAGGTTCAATGCACAAAGCTCAGAGGTTATTTAACAAATTAATGGCAGCCAATCGTGGGCTGGATAAACGGCAACCGCCTGTAGTTTTGTTTTACCTACCCGATTTTGCCTTCAGCCCTCCATAATTTGTTCCCCACCATATTGTCTTGCACTTAGGGTAATTTTGATTTATTTATTGCTGAATAATGAACAGCCATAACCTGAAGTTGTCAAGTAACATAATTAAGTTGTTTTAATCCTTAGGTGTTGTTTTTATCCGCTGGGACTGAGAGCGTGAGATGATGTCTTTCTTTGCTCGTTAAAGTACTTGGTCTGTATAGCTCAGAGGTAGAGCATTGGAGCGCTAATCCAAAGGCCCGGGGTTCGAGTCCCCGTACAGCCCAAATTCTTTAACGAGCTTGCAAAATGACTGATGTCATCACTGTCTACCGTGGAAGCCGTATGGCTACCCAAGGCCCTAAATACAAGGTTGCACGGACTTATTTCTACTAAACCTACCAGAATATAGTTTCACGGTTGATTATTTAAATAATTATTCAATCAAAATTTCTTTATTATTATCTCGTAATCATTTATAAGCAATTTTATAAATCAACTTTCAATTTGCTTGCCTTTTACTAGCAAAATAAATTTTCTAGTATTGGGTCAACATAGTGGTGTAGCAGTAGGAACCACATCTGGCAAAACCCCAATGCCTACATACAGCAGAAAAGCAGCCACCAGGTGTCGCCACAGTCGCCACTTGGTCGCCACACAGATGTCGCGCGCGTCGCCAATCGCCACACTACCGATTTCCATAAGGACGCATGTGTACGGATATGTATAGGAAAGTCGCCCTTAAGGATTACGCTTACATCCTTTGCTTATGAGGTCGGTGGTTGGAAATTGGGAGGGGCTCAGCTACTTTCGACCACGGATATGCCTTTATCACATGATGAGGAACATGCTGATAAGCGTTTTATGCGTCATAACAGCACAAAAGTATTTTTAATCATTTTTCAAAAATAGCCGTTCTGCCCTATCTTTCAGTGCAAGGTGCCGTCGGTCATCCCCGACGTGACGTCACGCAGGGAATTTGCCAGATTTTCCTACTAGACTTCGACACCCCCTGTGGCTACCCATCTACGCTGGAGTACGAAAAACATCATCTAAGTTGTTTTAAATTTAAAATTACTTTTACATACCTACCTGCATATCAATGTAGCAAAAGTAAAATTTCATAATCTGTTTATGAACAGAAATCAGTTGATGAGCTAAGAGATTGTCAACAGTAATACATAGATAGACAGAATAAACAGCCACAGGTAGTGTGCCAGATGATGGAACATTTCAAATAATGTTTGGGATAGGTAAAAGCAGTCAGCATTAAAGGAAAAGGGCCACCTTCGTGAAATATGAAGATATCGTTGTTTTTCATTTTGACATTATTATTTTTCATTTTCTTTTTAAAACTGGTGCCAGAAGTGCACAATTCGCGAAAAAGTATTTAAAACTATTTAACATATTGGTACTATGTTGATACTCTCTACGGCACCTACTGTATGATGGCATAGCGATGACGTCACACTCAAGCCAATCAGCGTTCAGAAGACAGACTCGTCGGATTGTGTCAGATAAGCTGATTGGTTAAAGCTGAGCTGGTTGGAGCTGATTGGTAAAAAACCAAAGCCTCGCCGCGGGTGGCTGTATTGTCGGATAAGAACGCATTCCTGGGATAAGGACGCATTCCTGGCGTATTTTCTTTTAAAATTGCCGATAACTACGAATGGAGGCCGAAATCGGCCGTAAGGAGGTAGACAGATAGGTTTTCGGACACGGGCTACAAGATGGCTATCTCAGTTTCAATCCCCATGTTAAAGGTGGCCCTTTTCCTTTTAAGTGTTTGCTAGTCAGAAACATTTTAACTTTCCATATCAATTTATTTGTATGCACACAATGCTGTAGAAGTTGGTCCTGCTTTGAAGCTGGTTTAACTTCAAAATCACCTCCTTCCCCTTGGCTTTGTTTTGGCTAACATTGTTATGTACTACATACCTACTTAGGAGAGATATGTTACAGGTTCATGATTTTAGAATGCATTCCACATTCTCCCATGCCAATATGTGAAGCATAACCCACTGTCTCTCCACTCAGCTGCAGAATGAGCACCGTCAACTCCTCCGATCCGCGGCGTCCGGCGCGCGTGACGCGCTACAAGTCGCCACTGGCGGTGAACCCCAACTCGAGCGCCCCGGTGCCCGGCGAGGACCCCACCGCCGACTACATGAACGTCCTAGGCATGATCTTCAGCATGGTCGGCCTCATGATGCGCGTCAAGTGGTGCGCCTGGGTGGCCATCATGTGCTCCTGTGTCAGCTTCGCCAACTCGCGCATCAACGACGACACCAAGCAGATCCTGAGCAGCTTCATGCTCTCCATCTCTGCGGTGGTGATGTCGTACCTGCAGAATCCGGAGCCGATGAAGCTGCCCTGGGAGATGCTCTCGTGAGGACGTGTCTGCCCTGTCGTCCGGAAGCTTCCCCGGACGGCGGGGTTTGGGGACGGTGACTGGCGCGTGCGTTTCGTGCGGTGACATGAGAGTGGGGGACTGGGGAGTGGGACTCCGTTTTGAGTGGATGCGTGCATGAAAATCGTCATCCGATTGTTCTCGTCTCTCTGCCGTAACGATCCGATCTTGTTTGAAAATGTCAGTGTCGTTTGCAGATGCTGAACGAATGACTCATTTACGTTCGACCCTAGACCAGTCGACCAGACCAGACAAGTCTCCACCTCAATTTCTTTACCAGTTATTGTCGACGTTGAACATTGGACTAGAACCCGCCTATCAAATATCTAGCGAGTGTCGTAGTGTTCTTCCATGACTTCAGCTGAATGCACCCTGGAAACGATTTTAATGGCGATTATATATTGTTAACGTGTTTATTTGTCATATGTGGCTAGTTGTTATCGGAGATAAAATTTGCACTAGATATGATTTCATGATTGTGGCATGTTTATTGTTCAGTGTTTACCGAATAGAGAAACGTCAGCTGTCATAATTGTTTTACGTTTTTTTTATGTGTTTGCATGTTTGCCTTGCGATATTCCCAAGCATTGCATTGAACGATTTATCCATACATGGTGAAATAAATATCCTCAACACTTTATTTTTATTGTCGTGTGACGACTTGAGTACTTTTTTCTCGAGTTTTCGAGATGCCTTTACGAATGGTTGACTAATCATTATAATGATTAATTTGTGTCGTAGTGATCCTAAGCTGTGGACTGAAGCCAGAGAACTGCAAACGACGAGTGCCGTCTCACACTAGGTGGCTCCTCGTTTGCGCTCGAAGCTTCCATGCCGATACGGCGGGCACTGTCCGATTGCTGGCCGTTCTCTCAGAGCCCTGGATAGACGGTATCGGTCGTACCGCCGCGGGGCCGGTACTCCAATCGGAGATAGCCCACGGCCCGTGACCCGTGGTCCGTGCTTCGTCTGTGGACGGTATGCGGCGCCACGCTCTGCGGGGTTCGGGCGTGCCGTTCACCAGCAGATGGGGCTTGTTAGTAGAACGAACACTACGAACTCTCTTGTCTGAGTAATGAGTTCCGACTACCCGCATCCAAACTCCGCTACAAACCGGTAAAAGCCGGGATCGGGCCACCTCCAACCGACGCGGCGGTGCGGTGTTTGACAAGTAGGTTTGTTTGACAAGTGACCCACCCGTCCACGATCTGGCATCTGGATAGGTATAATATATAGCATCACATGTCAACCGGGTCTGCGAACAGCTGCGGAAAGCCCTGAAAGGGCAACTTCTCTAATGTGAACATTTGTAGCTGTAAGATATTCACATTTAGATTTCCCTGAGGAATGCCGATACGGCTCCGGGCTCACAACTTGTGGTGATTGTGGTGATTGTTGATTGTGGGATTGTGGCGATTTCAGCTTCATAAGAGTACACTGGCTTCCAGCTTTCCCACGTCTGTACTCGGTGTCATGAGTCATGACCCATGCTGCCGCCTATTTTTATCTTCGTATCGCTTACGCACAAACAGCAATCCCATCCGCCCACGTTCAATCGATGTGACA